TACACAAAAGCTAAACATTTATTTTACTCACAGGAATTTCTAAAAAATCAACGAACTTTCATTTGCAGAAGCGCAGAGGACAATCCTTTAGTGTGTTCATTCATTTTTTGAATATAGTTTACTGGCATCGATTTTCCGTCATTTAATGTCCTTCGGCTTTTCCTAAGAAATATTTCATCATGAAGAGACAATATCATAACCATACGAATAGAAGTGTTAATTGAAACATTTGAAACACATGCACCAAAATTTTAACTTTCGTTTCACTTTTTCGCATTTTTAGAGTGTCATTAATTAAAAGTTACCCATAATGAATATATCCTATCCAATGTTGAGAATATTTCATTTCATTTAATTGAGAAGTAAACAAAATGTACCATTTATTTATTAAAACATTAAACTGTTAATAAAACAATCGCATGACGAATGTATTGAAGAAAAAGTGGGAGAAATGAAATAATATACAATAAAGTGAATGTAATGACTTTAGAGAAGCAGAGTGCAGGTTAATTACAGGGACATCAATAAGGGCAAATAACACATAAGAATGGTCCTAGTAATAAACTTCGAGCATTGAAGAGAATCACGCTGTTGCAACTTGGATACCAACCCATCAAGTTTATATTTCCATGAAGAAAGAAGTCGGGATTGGGAAAGTGGTGCGAATAGGAAGATAGCATCGGGAGATAACATCGGGTGGTGGCGCTCGACAATGAGTTTGTCTCAGTGCAATAAGTATGGGGGGGAGGGAGAGTGGAACTCTACCGCTTCCCATCAAAAGTTATTAAGGTGTTCAGTACGGATTAAAAAATGAGGGAGTGGAATTCCTTGAATATAGTAACTTCACGAATGATTCCAAAATCTCCTCCCAGTAGTGCTATACTTAATACGATTTCGTAAATCAAGAGAAAATTTTTGCTTCAGAATGATGTTTATTAAAGTATCACCGTTATCATCTGTCATTATTTCCATAAATGAGATGATAAGTGCTGTAAATTAGAGTCAAGAAAATGAATTTTAAATCGAAATTTTATGTAACATATAAGTTGACAGATTTATAAGAATTTATTTGAAAATGAAATAAATGTAACAATGAATGAGCTAAATTTCAATCCTATTCCAAGCAAAACTCTGATTTATTACTTCCCATTACGATTGGCCACAAAAGCATAAACTTGAGCCTTATTAGATTAAATATTGGTCATATTCACTATCGTAGCATTCATGGATGAGCTCTTAAACATCTGAAATGAATAGCGATGAAAGCAATAAAAAATGAAGTGAAAATTTTTTAATTCTTTACGAAGTTACTAATATATAATGATCAAAATTTATACATTGCTGTCATTATATTGCTGTTTTTCATATTTTCAGGTTCAAGACAGTATGTTTCTGCTGTTTAAAGCGATTAAAATTGAAGTTTGATTCATATCGGAAGACATATAAATATTTAAGTTTTAGGCTACGTGCTGAAAATGTTTCGAAAAAAGAAGTCCTATATAGTGAAATGGAAATTAAGGACATGGTGAATTGAAATATAAAAAATGAGAAGAATAAACCATAACTGTCTAGTTTCAGTAAATCGTATCTTACTGAAAAACTATGACACAAATCACCAATTGTTATGTCATTTATTATCAGTTTATCATTTATTTTCAATTAACATTAATTGAATAAATATACTGAAGCAGCAAACCTCGTAATAGCCTAGCCTAGCCAACTGAAAAAGCGCTGTTCCACATAGAAATAAGTTGACGCTTGCTAGATTGTAATTGACAGGTGTGATAACAAAACTATAACGTGTCCAAATGCCGCCCGTTAAAAAAAGTGCCACATTCTTTAAATAATTCATTCGTAACTTGTATGTCGCCTCTTTTTTTCTGATTAAAATGTGTTTAATGCTAAATTAATATTCGAAATATTAGAAATTTAGACTGAAAGGAAGAAGGAATATTAATTTTGGATTTATTGAATCATTTTGACAAGCCTAAAGCGTCGCCTCACAGCAACGAATTAATTTTTTCTACACTCTCCGCCATTTTTAGTGATAATTGTTTAAATGATGAGAAATAGACCAAATGATTACCTGGAAAAAGCTGAGTTTTTCCACTGGTCTCATCAAATCAGCCAAACCAGCCAACACCAGACCCCATTTTATTGCTGGTCCCCAAAAAAATACTGTTTTAGGACCAGAAGGATGGTCCCAGAATTTCTTCAAGAAATCAGGTAGGATCGGATAAATTATCTGCAATATATCGGATATATGATCAGACAATTATATGCTGAAAATAATGGAATTTTATATACTAGTTAAAATAGAAATATTTGAAAATATTATTTTTAACTGGTATATTTAAAAATCATTTGTCTGCTGTGTCACCAACGGTAAATAAATAAACCATAGTTTCAATCAAATAACCTCTGTGTCTCATATCCATGAGAATGAAAATTCCGAATCTTTAGTCATATTACGCTATACTTATAGTTATAATATTTTAAAATACTATACTACGCCTCATCTTTGTTAATACCGTATAATTCTTTTATTTTTATTTCTTCTACCTGTTACATTCAAATATTGTTTTCAACTTTTAAAATTTCAACTCTTGAAGCAGATTGGAGCAAAATTCCGAAGTGAAATTATATACTTTTAAGAGAGCAAATTACACTTGCCTTATCAGCAGCTTTACAAAATGCATCACTTATGCACGACATAACTTCGAATATAGAAAGGTTTTCTTCTTTTCAATGAATATATAATAATTTAAAGTAGATGACGGGGGTCGACAACGAGTGGATGTCACAAGGCTGAGAAACGCATCATTAGAGACACAACACAAGTGCTATAGTATTTAATACCACATAGAAAACCACCAATTCGATCTTTAAGTTTTTTTAAAAAAAATAAGTGAATGTGAGATTTGTTAATTTTCGGTAAATATAACGTGGAATTTGAATATATGAAAAATGATTAGAAACAAATGATAAAAGTATTTATCTGACTGCAAGGAACAAAAACTTATTTTTCTTTCTTTTATAAATGAACCGATTTTTATAAAAACGGAAAAAGGAGGAAATGAAGCAGCTAATTGTAGACAGTACCAAAAATACAAATGATTAGCTTGCTGTGTCAACTATCCTATATCACCAATGGTAAATAAGTAAACCATAATTTCAATTAAAAAATAGCTCGACTGTGTGTCACATATCTGTGAGGAATGAAAATAATTGAAATGTACGAATGGAAAAATAATCCTTCTGTACCAAATACAACAAAAACTGAGCATAAAAAATGTCATATGCATGGCATAATTTCGAATATAAGAGGGCTTTCTCCTTTTCAATGAATTTTTGAAGTGAGAGAAATGAACAACAAAGAACGAAGGCGAAAAGTTTTCAACAAAATTAGACGAAGAAATTCAACTTCTTTCTATCATTGCTACATAGCATTTAATAATGATTACAAATTATTTGAATTTATAATTTAATGAAAAGGAATTAAAGTATATGAAGTATAGCCATATACCATAAATTCAATCAATCTACAATACTTTTCAATAACAATATAATAAATCATGTTTTTCGATCTGTTGTAATGTTGTTATGATAAAGAAATTGCTCTGTTATTTCAAATTACATGTCAACAAAATTTATGACGGATCCCTGTTGTTAGTTATTATTGTAAATGGAAACCGTGTAACAATCAGTAATATATTATCGGTTTCATCCTGAACTGATTTATCTTCTTTCAAATTTTGAAAAGAATTATAAAAATATAATTAAAAATGACAAACACATTTCTTCTGATATAAGAGATAGTTTTCAAAGCTTAGAAGTTAAAAATTTCTAATTATAAATCTTACGCTACCGTAGTCGAGCATGAAAATGTTTACTATACTTGATAATATTTTTGCAATTCTTTACAAAAATTTCGATACCGTTCCACAAATTAATTGTTTATAAGATAGAGAATTTGAGTCTTTGAGTTCTAATGAGACAGGAATTGGAATAAGTAAACTTTACAAAAAATGATTGACTTGAAGATTGGAAATATTTAGTAAAATTTATAAATTATTTTCGTAGGTTAAAGTAAAATTAAATAAATCATGGGCAAGAAGTATTTCAATGGATTTTAAAGAAAGTTGAAAAACTGATAATACAAAAATTAATTACTCAAATGATAGTTTAGTTCGTTTGAGCTAATAGGATGATTAATTGGAAAAGCAAAAAAAAACAAAATGGATCAGATTAGATCGATTAATATCAAATCACTAAAATATAATAAATGTATTTAAATGGATACATCAAATTAGTAACTTGAGCTGAAATTTGCAAAGTTATTTACCATCTAAAGTTACTATCAGTTTTCCCTCGTTCTGGGTGACGGGAAGGAAAATTGGAGAAGATCAATTTGATAAAAGTTGCAAAATCGTGCTCGGAGATAGAAAGATCAAAAAGGAAATTACAAAAATTTGAGCAAAAACCCTACTGGGAGATCTAAATAGAAAAAAATGACTAATGAAAAGTCGGTATAAAGTGCGCGGATATCATTATCAAATATTTTATAAAGGTAAATTTTGGCTTTTTAATTTAAAATCATCTTTAATGCACAGATTGTAAGGTAACTGACAACATATATAACTAACCTAATAATTCATCTCAGTTTACACAAACAAATTTAAATAAATAAATTTAAATATATATGGATCACTTCGAATAGCAATTTTTATGTTCACAAGATAATTTATGCGTAAATGATAGTCATAGCTATTCCAAAATCCATCCATTCTATAAGTTTTTCATTTCATTTCAAGAAAGTGACAATGAAATTATGATTTATTTCACTCGAACTTACTTCCTGCTTTCTTGAAATTTTTGAAATGTATACATAATGCCATACTCGGAGCGCAGAATTCCCGAGCATTAAATTAGATATTAAGAATGCTTAATTTCGATAAATGCTTGTCTAATTAACTTTTTTGTAATTAATTCAGGTTGATTGTGATCGAATCATTCTCTCATTATGAACTTTAATAAAATGTAGCGTTTAAGAAAATAACAATGGGAAATCAGTTGTGAATAGAAATAATTAGAAGTGTCAAATGAAATGTCAACTTTGGATTAGCTCATATTTGGGAAATAATCACACAATTAATATGAATTTGGCAGTGAATAATTGTTGCTCTTTTTCATTTTTGTTATGGCAAAGCTTCAATCTAATCTTATATTGCAATCAATTAGCTTTTTGTTTATAAATAAGACAAATATTTCTCGCCTTGAAATATTATTTCGTTGATTTAAATAATTTCAGTTGAATTAAAGTATAACTTTCAAACTAAAACTTCGAACTGTTTATTGATTAAGTCAGTGAGGAACGATTAGAGATAAGTTAACAAATAAAATATATTGAAGCTTGTCCAGCGCAAGCAATTTCAAGCTAAGCCTAGTTAAAAGGACAAAGTTAATGGCATCATGGAGCAAGCATTTTCTTTTCAGCTTTGAACTAAGAAATTAAATTGCTCTAACTTTCTGTCAAAATTTTTTAATCTCTGCAGAATTAACAAATATCTAAATTGAATCGAAAATGAATGAAAGCTTTTAGTGCTACTAGCTTTCAAAAAACATTTAATTTTGAATTAATACATAAATTTTATTCCATATGAATTCGAATTCACACAACAAGCAAATACAACTAAGTAGAATGAATTGAGTTTTCACAAAACCGGAACCATTCTGTAAAGTGCACAGCCTTTTCTACATGTTTAGATATGAGGTAAAGGTAAAAAGAGTCAGAAAAAAACCTGCATAAACAACTGCATCATTAAAAAAACAACAGTTACTTTCAATTCAACAACCGAAAATGATATATTGATAAGCGCAATAGCCGGAAGCGGTAGATTAATTCTTAAATATTAAAGCAAAATCTTTTCCGATCAAACTACAAAAATTTGCTATTTACTACAAATTTGCAAAGGACAATGTTGCAAGCAAAATATCAAATGAACAAAACTTCGGTAAATAATTAACAAGCACATGAAGAGAGAGAAAGAGAGAGAGAGAGAGAATGAAATTTCCTTTTAAAAATGGAAATTATGATACAAACAAAAGCTACGATCACCGGGAAAAACTATCACAAATTACTTAAAAAAATTTAAAAAAAAAAAAAGATCTTAAAAAAGTAATAAAAAGTTCAAAGCTTAGGAGAAAACATTAGGGAACTATGACCTATTTTTCTTTAAGCATTTGCTTTTTGGTAAGCTGTCATTTGTCACTAAAAGGTATTTTTATTTATTCATTAAAATCTTTTTCATTTATTCTTTGTATATTATCAGTTTTCTCAGTTCTAGACTTCTTTTTTTAAGAAAAAAATTATAAAGAATTGATAATAGGGAAATTTGCCATTCATTTTCTAATTCTTTTGTTTTGAAAATATTCAACAAATTTCATCAATAATTCGTTGATGAAAGCTAAGAAAAAGAAAAAAGAAAATGAGGTAATATTGAATTGGACAAATTTTAAAATGTGGCAGAATGTTTAATGGTGGAAGTTTGGAAAATACAGGCAGAGAACAATAAGAAGAATTAAATCAACTCTGATATCTGAATCTATCTTTTCTCATCGACTGATTAATACATCAAACATGAAAAATCTAAAATATATCACAAATATCAAAATCTATATAAAATAATTGTTATAATTAATGAAGTACCCTTTTGAAGTATTCTACCTGTCTATGTTGCACTTAATTAGTACTCCGTGGTTCAATCATTCATGATGATAATTGTTTTTGTGACATCTGAAATGCTGGCAAAATTAATAAAACGGATGTTTTGTAAAAAACAAAGTAAGTCAACTGTTCTGTGATAATATCAAGTGTCATTGATATCGACTGCTAGAAAAACAGTGATAGTTGTATTAATCACAGTGACACTGATTACAATTTTTTTTATCTTTTATTATATTAGAGTTCATAAAGATTAGCAAAACCTCATTAATTATCTAAAATAAAATACCAGATCTGTTGAAATTTTAAAATTATAGTTGATTATCAAAATTAATGTAATTTTCAACTTACATTCATATAACCTAACGCAGTCAGTCTTCAAATGCAATAAAGGTTTGGCCAAAAAATGGATTGAAGTGAAGAAATTTTTAAAAACAAACTTCATATTTAATTCTCCTCGATACTTGATATAAGCCAACACAACTGAGGAAAAAATTAACACTCGCTAAGTTGTAATTAATTGGTTGAATAACGAAACTGTAACGAGTCCATATTAGTCCGGTTATACATAGCGCTGTGTTCTGTAATATAAATCATAAGTTTGCGCAAGAAGTTAGATGAAAAAGTTTAGAAGATGTTGTATCATTATTCAGGCACTGAGATATAGCGGAATAGCTCGAATTAGGCTAGAGTAAAGATTTCATTTATAGTTGTAGCTTAGAAATTTTTATCTAATATATCATTTACATCGTTATTTACAACTTCAATTGATGAGGCAATTAAACTTTCTTTTGATGTCATATTTATTTTGTTATAATACGCTCTTTACTAGCAATTTTTGACTTTTGAGAAAAAAATTAATTGAAAACATCTGAGTTGTTTGTGTTAATTAAAGCTAATATATCAAACTAAAACAAAGGGGTTGAGATCGATTGAAGTTTATCACAGACTGATATAGTTAACAAGATCTTTGGACGAATGAAACAGAGAGACAATAGAAATTTATAAATTGATATGCAGTAAGAGAAAAATGAAGGAATAAACCTGATAAATGCTAAGTTTCTCTGCAGGCCTTCTTAAATCAGCAATTCCAGCTATCACCAAACACCACTTGAAGGTTGGTGCCCAAAAAAATATCGTTTTAGGGCCTGCTTCATGATTCCATAAAACTTTAGCAAATGATGGTAACCATGGATAAACAATCTGCAAAAATTAAGGCATTTTGTGTATGAGAAATAAATATCTCATTAAAATGTAAAAGTCTGCAAACTATTTTGCCATTTTGCTGTTATCAACACTGATAATGAGTATTTCGCTCTGACTTTAAGATAAAAAGACAGTTATTCCCAAAGGAATGGAAAGAGAACTAAAGAGAAAGAAAGGAAGTTAAACAAAAAACTTATTTGCAATGGTGAAGCCAAATATAATTTCTTCACGACATTTTATTGCTAAATTTTGATGAGAAAGTTAAAATGAATCTTCTTAACTCTTTCTTTCATCATAATTTATGTGTATGAGAAATTTCATTTTTCCATTTTCACAAAATTCGGTTATGCATTTTTTGTTTATCAATTAAATAATGGAATCTGTGCTCTTCAATTGATCCGTCGGTCATGTATCAGTAATTTTTTATTTGTAACCTTATCACCAGTCTGACATAAAACTCGATAGAATGATGAAAACATGTTCTCTTTCGGGAAAATAATTAAATTCGATTCCACAATCAACACCGAACCAATCTGAAAAATCAATTCCTTAATGAAATTAAATGATAACATCTATGGAGTTAAGATATATATGCGTAAACAGCATCTGAACAAATTCTGGTAGAAATAGAAATAACAAGATTGAGTGCAGTATGCATACTAAAAACTCTTCTGACAACTTATGTTAACGTATTTCATTTCATTTTACACCTCCCAATCTTAGAGCAAAAATCAAATTTTTTATTTTCATCCGAGTGAAAATGAAATGTTTTCATTTCCAGTAAAAATGAAGTTATTGTTTTGAAACGAGCGATTGAGTGGTATTCTCAGGCAAACAAGACGATATCTGATCGATTTTTGAAATTCACAAAAATAGAAGATTAGTAATACTTAGCTCAGCTCTATATAATCACTAACTAAGATATTCTTATTATCATGAAATCACAAAAAGTACCTAATCCGTCAAATATTCACACGGGAAATAATAATTCGGGTTTATTAAGGACCAGTAAACGTTACACAAATAACATCACATTCAGTATTTTCAACAATGCCATTAATTTTCTATGACTATTTTCCAAATGAAGCACTAATCAATCTTTGAGTGTAAAGAATTATAAAATGTGAAGAAAAATTAAATTTAGCAAGATTCAATTTGAAACAGCTTAAAATAATCGGAAAGGGACTGTAATAATTCATTTCAACACATCATAATAACGCAAAGTAGGAAATCACATGAGTTAAATCGATCGTGAGTTGCTGAAGAGACAGCCATCCTGTTGATTGCATTGTGGCAAAACGCGCCTTTTGTCCACAACATCATTTATACTTCAAAAATACGAGGAGACTTAATTTAATAAATAAAAGAAGAGTGAAGTTCCATTTTTTTTCTTCCTTTTTTGGAAAGGATATTTAATTTTCCACGATGTAAAAATATTTTTGAAAAAATTTGAATGTCATTAACTGAAATTATAGGGTTTAATTAGAATTGCAAAGTTATAAATGAGAAGTGTGGAAAATGTTTATATCCATAAATACAAAGAAATTATTTCAAGTTATTAGTATCATGAGTTTAACAATTTTTAACTTTATACCTATGTGGTATTAATTTGTATGGCTAAATTTCTATTATTATGGTAAAATCGTCGTTTATTTTCATCTTTTATTTTTTTGGCTTATCATTGTTAAACAAATATCAAATCTTTGTCTTTTACATTCACACTCTAAAATATTACAAAGGGAAATGAATTACTGAAATTCACTGCATGTGGATAGGATCATTAAGGAATACGAAGAAAGGAACACACGCTAATTTTTATTCCACTTCATATAATTACTATTTATTATCAAACAAATAAAAGATTCAATTGGAAAGTATCTCATAGAAAAAAGAGCGACGTTATATCTTCCAGTAAAATTTAATTCATAATCAAAAAAAATAAACGTTTTAATAACTAAAAGACAAAGAAGCGATCGATCAGTTGGAATCTGATGATTCGATTTCTAATGAGAATTCGAATAAAAGTCACAGCAATTGATTAGATTTATTAGAACCACAATTTTAGATTTATTAGAACCACAATTTTTTCACATATAATCTTATTTGCAAAGTATTAAATGTTACTCGAATACTTGTACTTCTCTATATATTCTTGATAATATTTTTTTATGAGAGACCAACGGAAATGTACTAATTTGTTCGTAAGGTGCAATATTTGCAGTACTGTCATAGCTTAGTCTTATACAATTTCATGTCAGACACACATAAAAATTAGCTTCTGAGAAAGTTGTCAGTCGTATGACTGTTCCTTTTAGCTTAGTCGCCTGTTATGAGTATTGGCCTGGTTAAGTGTGCATTTTAATAAACATTTCATTACCACTCCCAGTTTGAAAGGTGATAATTGTAACATAGGTTTTGACCACTGTAATTAGGATAAAAAGGTTGAAGTCACTTAAAATAAGACTTTTTAAATGTAAACGGGATCCTAAATCTTATTTCCAAATTTCATAAGAAAAAAAACCTTGACAGGTACGAAAGCATGATTACAACAATAAATCACTGTCCACATTTCTTAGAAAATTGGTCGAAATGTAGAGGTTCTGGGAGATACAAACGGGTAAATGACCTTAGAATTGCGGTTTGATTAGAAGAAACACCGAAAATTTGTGAGGTAGCAGCCACCAAAAATATCAATTATACCTTTTTGCTTCGACGGCTAAAAGGGGATAGAAGTGCAAAATATAACGAAATTTTACAAATCGAAAGCTTTCAAGAACTAGCACTGAGAATATTCACTATAATTTTTTACAGTAGCGATAGCTGAGAGTATTTCATACAATGTGACTCGCAAAGTTTGAAAAAAAGTTTAGCAAATTTTATTAATCTTTCACTTTGATTGATTTGGAGGATATTCTCATATTCCTCAGATCTAAGGAAAAATTGTCGCACGTGCTCATTTCCTTGTCAGAGAAGATAAAACGACTAATGCTAGGAGGTGTAAACAATTAGTGATGAATTAGTGATGCTCATTTAGTGTTTTTTAACTAGTTTTGCGAATTCTACTTCCCAGAAAAATTAAAGAACGACAGAGTACTAATTCCATTTTCTTCTCGAAAATTGACCTCACCACCGGATATATAAATGATTTTTTTCATTTCTTTAAGATCACAAAATAAACAATAATATTTAAAAGATACGAATGATCCAGCGGAATAATAGAGGAATAATCTCGCTGTTTATCCTCATTATTTGGATTTATTTCACAGGAACTAATGAATAATGGAAATTGTTTACAGCTTTATAACCGAGAGTCTAAAAAATCCATATTTGCAATCATTGTCTTTTATTTTTTAAAAAGCGAATAAATGTATCCTACCAATACTGAACTGTGAGGTAAAAGCAATAGAATATTCTTTTTTTGACAATGGAATTTTCCTCGACCACTCTACCCGTCGCTATAATCCATTAAACCGTCTAAGTGGTGATTCACTCTGACCAAAATTCCGACTTTATAACTTTTCCACGAAACCTTACTACCGCTAGCAGGGAAACATTCTTGTCTGCCAGCAAGTTAATAATTGCCAATTCATTTAGCGCTGAAAAACACGAAAAATACATTAATTCCCAAATTCAAGTTTATTTGGGTGAGTGGAAATTCAACAACTAGTGATTAGAAACTAGTGATCAAGATCCGGTACTACGAATGAAAAGTTCACATCCAAATGAAAAATTTTATACACATATAGAACAGCACTAGAACGAACAAAAATGAAAATAACATACATGTTCTCAGAAAGAATTGGATTCTAAAGTAAAATAGATATTTCGATTAAAAGAAGCTAAAACAAAGAAAAACACGAATATTATGAGTGAGAAGTTTGAGTGATAAATTCAAATCAATACTCTGGAGAATGGACAAAGCGGAGCCAATTACTTTGTCCATTAAATTAAGGAAAGAACACAAAGACTAATAGCATGAGAAAAAAAATGAAACACATCGTCGAATACGGTGAATTTTTTGCAATATGACAATAAAAATATGCTGTTTTGTTAAAAGTTGCTTTAGCACAACGAAGGGCAAATTAAGTTGCTTTAGGTTAAAATCACAACTCGCTTCAAAGTATCACTGCAATTATATACACAAACGTAGAAAAGAAGCAAGAAATGCAAGTGTGCAACCTAACTATACGGAATATATAGATCAAAGCCTCTTCCCTTTCCAAGTTTCTCTCCCAAAACGGGGTTAGAATTTCGTTCTAGAAAGTACTTTATGACAGCGTATTTGAATAAAATAATTTCACAATTTTTTTGAGAAACTATTTAAAATGAACATACGAAGCAAACAAATATGACTAGAAACTTGAATCCGATTTTTTTTTGATTCATACAGAAAGATTACACAACATATAATAGAGTCTGCTCGGCTACATTTCAGCAGCAGCCATTCGAACCTCCTAGTGATTGATTACTACTGGGAGAATTGGGTGAACTCGGAGAATGTTGTGGACCAAGTTTGATTCCATTTGCCTGCAATATAAGAACAATTATGCACATATTAGTCATAAAGTAAGAAGATGAAAAGCTGCACTGCAGATGAGAGAAACTGAGAACTATCTGGTGGAAATCTGCTACATTTCACGAGTTGTAGCAATAACAAAACTAGACTCATAGTTATATTCTAGATCAAGAACTATAGGTTAAGATCGACAATTTAATGACCAGATGAACAAAAAAAAAGCCTGACAACTGCCTCCCAACCACCGCTTGACAACTGTAACTAACTATGCCTCGTCTATGAAAAAAATGTTTCAGTGTAAAGAATATGTATTCCATTATCTGCTGGACAATCAGAGCGAGTAAACAAAATATCATATTCAAAACTCCTAAAATCTTTAAAACACACCTCATTATTGATATCGAAGACGCCTTCCTGTATTTTCCGATAAATTTCTTTTGCGGTGTCGATGAATGCCTGAAAATAAGGGACATTCCAAACTATTTCTAAAGCTACATAATTCAAAGATTGGCTATGCCCAAGATAACAAAAAAAAGGAAAAATATGCTACTTCTTCTACGTTTGCGGCAGTCTTTGCAGATGTTTCCATGAAAATTAGACCATGCTCACGTGCGAATGCCTCTCCTTCTTCTTTCTTCACCTCTCGTCGTGCTTCCAAATCACTGCAAAATCATTTTCTAAATAATATGAGCAATTCACATAAAGACTGAAAAACACATACATTCCTTCCTTTAGTCACGTGGATAACAAAACGCAAAGAGACTTTCACTATAAATCAGCAGAAAACCAAATAGTGACAGTGGAAATATGCGAGTACTACAAAAATTTCAAACTGAAAAATGGGATTTGGATTTTATACCAAAGAAATTTCAACGATGTTTCTTCCACTCCTTCAAACCTTTACTTCACCTCAATTTACAACTTCACTGCAGTAGCTGTGCTAAATATATTAAGCTATAAAAACGTTCAAGAAACTCTTGTTTCATTACCAAAACACTGCTCCCTATTTGCAAATGAATTTAGGCCATCCAAATTACAGCATTCTATGTTGACGGAACCCCTTTCGCAAAGTATGTTTATATATATATGCAATCCTTCACATGCAATAATGCTACCACCGAGGAAAAAGCTGTGCTAATGACTGAATGCTTCGTTTTCGGCATCATCAATAAATCTTTTTGCAAGTAAAATCAATTAAAACCCGGATATAACCTTTTATTCCCAATGAGCATAATAACCATATTAGAATTTGAATGTTGCCGCGCGTCCTCCAACCATGAAGCCAGATGGTTGAATGTATCACGTCTAAAAAGCATCAAATACTTTGACTTCCATCAAAGAGCAAAATAAGATCATAATGTGACTGAATTTGATCTTACCAAACTATTACCGTGTTATGTCATAAACAAGAAGTGCTCCTGCTGCTCCACGATAATATGACCGCGTTATTGAACGAAACGATTCCTGACCTGGAAATTATCAAATAATCGCAACTGCTTAGATGAAATGTGCAACAGTTGATAATTTCAAATAAAACTAGGATAAATAAACATACCAGCTGTATCCCAAATTTGTAGTTTAATCTGTTTGTTATCGATAGTAATCATACGAGCGCCAAACTCCACACCTGAATTCGAATTAATCATGAAATGCTCAAGAATTTCAATGAATACATGGTTCCTTCCGAAAACTATGATCTCTCATATATATATAGTGTTGGTGGAGTAACAACAAGAATAACTATGTAAAACGCTGTCGGCGTTTGGGCCTTTTAGCCTCAATGGACTAACACAGAATTTTCTACCAGAAGAATGTATTCCCAACATCCTTTAAGCCTAGCATCCTTTAACATATGGTGACTGCTATTATCCGACTAAATAATTGACAAGTGACATATAGACAATTGACAGAAATATCCAAATCAACTTCAAGTGATATACCTATTGTTAAATCATGCACAGGTTGGAAGCGCTTGTCGGTGAATTGAAGAAGGAGACATGACTTCCCCACTCCTGAAACGCATGACTCATAAAAATAAGCAGTTTAAACAATAAAGAGTAAGGAATCAGTACGGTTCCTTTCTTAACTAATAGTTTCAAGCTAACCGCCTTTTATCGAAGATACAGAAGAACTTTGAGGCAGAATGATAAGTTACCATAATGTAATGAAAAATGCACTAGGGTGAAATCCCACTTTTCTTCACTAAACGGCAGGCAGTCATTTGTTTACTAAACGGTTTCTACAGGACAGAATTTCAAAATACGGAAATTCAAACGGATATGAAAAGAACCGCTTAGAGAAAATAAACATACCTGTGTCTCCTATTATGATATATTTGAAAAGATAAGCGTATGACATTAGAACTGACAACTAACAATCTGTAAAAGCACAGGTTTTCTTAAATAATATACAACTTTAGCATACAATTTTATGCCATCTCCCTCTCCGTAATATCAAATATAAAATCAAAATCAATTTTCTAATTGCCACTGAAAAGGAAAATAATATCTGTCCCCTATAGCTCGGAAGATACACGAAATATAACGATGCACAAAAATGAGAAAATACGACTCCACTTCCACAGAAAGTCTACTTCAAGCTAAAATAGGTTAACCCAACCACTGTCCGTGCACCGCAGAACCCGCCCCACCACCTCCCAAAGATTAACCACGAAGTAACAACGGTAATACCGCGCTGAAGCCACCATCGATTAACGATCTTTAAGCATTACCGTACGAAAAGAATTTGTATCATGAATAACTAAGTAAATAACAGCTCAATATCATCAAGCTTCTCTCGGAGAATATTGCGGGAGCAGCGGATCGAATGAAGAATGAGAAATTGAAATGCTAGAGGAAGAATTTGATATGTTTAAGATATACCATAAGTTCAAAGAAAACTGAAGCACTCTATTATCAGTCACCAAGAGGTAATTTATTAAACGGATAGTTTAGATGTAGACGAGAGTTGTCCCGAAACTTCTCAAGAATACCTTCAAGATATCATCCTGAAGCAGTTAAAAAGAAATGCAAATTTTCCAATTATTAAGGTACATGCAAATTTACTTACCGCAAATATAATATTGTGCAGGAGAGATAAAGACCATTTCACACATTTTCATCTTTTGCCTCGCTGTTTGGATGGCACGATTGCCTATATCTGAGAAGGACGCCATGTTGAAGAAAGGAAAGAAAGGTGTAAATTGAGACTGATATTTTGCTGTGAATAATAATTAATTGGTTGCTGAAGTCGGTAGATTGAAATTTGAACAAATTATTCTTTATTGTTCCCAACTCTTTCTTTCACATTCTTCCAGATAAAAAAGTTGAAAGTGAAGAGAGATGGCAAAAGAATAGCAGCGGCGATGAAAGAAAAATGCGACAGCAAATACCGACTTCAGAAACAAAAGTGGAGAAGCAAGCTAATGCAAAGAATAAAACACTAAGCATTGCTATGGTCGGTGCCAGCAGCGCTGCCGTAGATGTGTACGACATTTTGTCCTTACAATATTTTTTGGTCAACTGTTAAAATATAAATAAGCTTCAATTCGATTTAGTGCCATAGCACCAGAGAAAGCAGTAGTTACAGTAGGATAAGGCAGTAATTACAGTAAGCCTTAAAATTAAATTGGTAGGAATCAGGGATTAGACTACCATGTGTGAGACGTCTGTAGTAGTCTATAGCGGCCTGATCCTGAATGTAGAGCATTCAGACCTCAATGACTCAAACTGCCTTAGTAATCTCGGTTCATTTAGATCATCGGGATCATCACACGATTCGTGTGTTGAACATGAACATAATCAGCGAAAAATGGAAAAATTTCTGAAATCTATTACAAAGTTCATCTATCATGACAGTTATGTATGTAATCGTACTATAAGCGCATGGAGTACGTTATACTGAATAAACTGAAAACTTTCCAAGCTAACAATTTTATTTAATTTTGAAAAAATGTAGAAGATACGAACTGGACAAAACAATGGAAATAGGTTTAATTTAGATGGGAAGTGAAAGTTTTGATAATGATGGTTATGACGATGATGGTGACAACAATAATGATAGTGATAACGATAATAATATTCAGTTATTACGATCTCATATTTGCTGTGCATATACATTTCCCTTGCGTTACTAGTGACTGCAACCATATATATGATGTTATACAGCACCCGAGATGCACCAGTATACTATGGCGAAACTACTTTCATTGGTGGTGTACCAGGTATATGTTGTTATAAAGCTTATGCATTGAGAGTTTGAAAAACATTAAAATCTGTAAAACTACTCAGAATTACTAATTTAAAATGGTGAATTAATCAGTTGGTTATGATCGCGATTGTTATTAATTATGTTTCCAAATCCTAATATATATAGCATTTTCAAATTATTACTTTACTCAGGAATTGGCTTTGAGCCCCGAAAGCGAAGCATGAAAAAAGAACAAAATGTTTTCAAATGGAATACTAATGATCCAACATCATATGCTTTTTATGTACGAAGGTTGCGAAGAATTCTGTACGGTAAATCATTGCGCTAAATGAATTTAGAGCGCTTCCATGCTCTTCCTATCATCTGATAAAATTTAGGGTATGCCAAGATGGAAATGATGCCAAGCAAATTCAAAATGGATTGCAAGAAAACAGTTGTTTCTCACATGGGTGGAAAGCCAATAAAACATTTTTGCAAAACAGACGTAACCAACACAGACGAGAATTACGGTTACGGTGCTTGTGCTTTAAGCAGGGAAGTTTTTTGTTTTTTTCAATTGTGTTAGATCAGTATTGTATTAAATCTGCTTTATAGGTACAAGACAAAGATTAGTATCAAACTGAAAATTCGAGTCATTGTGATGATTTAGTTGATAAGTCCTGCAAATTCTCAACCTGATGCAGCATTTAAGAATGGTGAAATAAATATCTTAAAAACTCCCATGCAATAAAACAGAACCGTGTGCGCTGGCAACTGATTTTAGATTCTCAGTCCATTACAATTACATTATAACTGTGATTTTAAATAATAATTTTGAAGAATTTTTGCGTAATATTTATGTGTATCATGGCTATCATGTCCAAATTGCTAATAATTATGAAAGGAATGAGATACTTTTCTGTTTGAATTGATGATTTTAACTAAAATTTTTTAGAAATACTAAGTTCGGATACGATATTGGTACACTGTGTGTTATGTTACGTATAAATAAGGTATATTTTGATTGAAATTTCTTATACTTATTAGTGTTTAACGTTGTCAATAGGGAACTACTCCAATAAAATGATTGTTTAAAGAACAAAAATACGTATCGTTTTGTTCATAGGACGTCAAATTGGTTATTTATTGACAGACTTGTTTGCCTAAGGAAAGATTAGAACTGGATTTAGGTTCTCTAAATCATCCAACCAAAAAGCTTAATTTAATTATTTATAATTTAGTTATTCGGATATTATCCAGAACAACCAACATATGACTTATTTACTAACAGTTCGCTAAATTTTGAAACAAATAGAACATGTGGTCAAGTGCCGAATGCAACAGTCTGCTGCAGCGACGACCAAATGTTGTTTCAATGCTCACTCATGGTATCACTTTTTGAGATGTTAATTAAATTTTTAAATTTCAACCATCTCGACTACTCCATTTTATCACCATATTATTTGACGAAGTTTTACCTCGTTCTTGCAAGCTTGAGATTATCACACATCTTGCAGGACTTGACATTATCACATATGTCGTTTTCAATTACCTTATAACTTGTTGCGGTCATCTTATTGTTGAAATAACAACCCTATATTTAAAAATGACAACCCTTCTGTAAAAATATTTGATAGGAATATAAGTTTAACAAAGTACTGAGAAAAGTAAAATGTTAATTCTATCATGGCCCTTGCATACTTATAATACACAGGAAATAAGCATGAGTGCTGCTTATAAATCATTTTTCAATTAATATTAATATATTCATTTCAAGGAAGAGAATGGAAATGTAACGATAGTGCAATACCCAAAATTTGGTTATCCTTATTGCTTTTATCCATTCAATAACCAAAACGGTTATATGCAACCATTTATCATGATTCAGTTGTTCAATTTGATACCGAATAAAAAAGTAATGTTTTGTCCAGTTTTCATATTACCGAAATTAAAATCATAAAAATTGGATGCTCGCACACAAAATGTCGATATTTTCTAGCGCTTTTAGTTATTAATGATGAAATTTCAAGCTTTTTTCTGATCTTCACTTTTTTATTCCCAAGTTTTTGGTAGTTGCCTGAAAAATATATTAGTAAAGTTTAAATTTGCTGCAGACTGGGATAAAATGTGTGCCAACAGCACCGGACCTTCGAGGAAGATCACTCATTCTGTGGTTCGAAATTACAGCGAAAAGGAAACATTAAACATATTTAAAGTTGATTGTCATATTTTAGATAGTAAATTTCTGTGGTCAAAAATTTTCATTTAGAAAAAGGAAACAATAATTTACATCCCTACCATGTCAACTTATCACTTTTTTCTAAGTGATAACACGTTCACAGCAATAATTCAATGTTTTATTGGAAAAATCACTGCTGTCAACCAATAAAACTTCAGCCATCCATTTAATGTCTTCAGCAATATCGTAAGATGGATTTCTATACCGTTGATAATGCTTCAACATTCAAATGGAGTTACTGTTACCAGGAGAATAAAGACGAAATTTATACACTAAAGAAATCCGTTGACAAAATCTTCAAACAATTATCACCTGAATGGATATTACATGGAGATAGCTTAAGAAGATACAAAGAATTGAAATGAGTTGTCTGGATATTTCATTTCATCATTCTCCTTGTATTCAAACGAAAAATTTTTATGATTATGAATTTTTCATGAAACCATTAATTTTGCTTCCTAATTTAAAAGTTTTTTTTTGCTTCGTTAAAATCCGATCTTTGCTTTCAAATCAATTTGTACGGGGAAAGTTCGCAGTAATAATGCTTAGATTTAAAGGTGTGAAAAAAATAATCCCAATGTTTAAAAAAAGTTTATTATCGTTTAAATGGTTTTATATTGGAAATTGACCGTTTGACCGTTGCATGAAGAGATTTTCTTTTCTGATTTTAACCCAATAAAATTTTATTAGTAATTTATATAGCTTTAGCATTGAGAATGAATCAAAAAAAATCTTTATGGGGCTGAAAAGTATTTAGAAGATTGGGACAGACGGCTTCCGATCTACGGTTTCTTTTACCCTACACAAACAACGCATTAAGAGAAACAATCTTGGTTGGATATGGTTAGATGGTAGAATTTGTTCAAAGAAATTTAAAATTTCTTTAAAGTCTTTTACAAAATAATACCTTAAAGCATGCCAAAGTTGTTCTATTGATAATATGCTATGCAGAGTTATTAAAATATTTTCATTAAGTATCAGAACAAAAAGATGGCAAAAAGAAAGCAATCAATGAGGATCACTGATTCAATTAGAAGTTTGATTAATGCATAATTTCTCAGACAATAGCAAAATGATACAGTAATCTTCTTACTGAACAAATTTTGAAAAAAAAAAACGAAGAAATCGATGTTTCGTCGATTCTTCTTTTTAGTAATCAAACAAATTTAAAATTTAAATAACGTTGTAAATTAAGGATTGAGTGTGAATTGTATAAGAATTTCAAGGATTAGATTTGAATTAACTTATTATAAGATCATGCAATTAATTAGATAATTGAAACTTTCTGAAATAATGAAAGAATGAGTGGAAAATAAAACTTGAATTAATTTTCAGCAAAAGTAGTAAGTGAGATTGAACTGCTATTTAATTTGATCCTGAAGAGCATATCTGAGAAGGGAAGCGTTAAAATAAATACTGTGAATATCAAATAATATAATGCAACAGATAAATTGCAATGACCTTCCTATAAATTGCTATAATTTGAAAAGAAAACAAAATTTCTATGCTATACAAACTATTCGAAATGATAGTAATAAATTAGTATCATATTGAAGTGCGTTCCTATGACTACTAATACTTTCCTTTTGTGTTGCTTATCACTGAAGGAAAATTTACATAAATAAATGTCAAATGATTTCACTTACACAACTTCTATCCTTCAATATATTTTAATTATTTTCATTATATAATGCATTTTATTTTTCTGCCATTTATTTCACTCTTAAAATGATAAGAATTGCCATTCATTATTGCAGTAAAATTGTTGTGACAGTGAATGAAATATTGGAATAAGTATTTTATTATGAATGAAAATGTTATAACAGAAGAGAAATTTTATCGAAACAGAAATGTTATCATTTGATAATCCAATATAACATATCAAACACATACTTCATTATATTTATTTTTTTAACGAATTAATACCCGTAGTGATACTGATAATATGGTCGATCGTTAACCTGAAAGTAAGCTTTATCACTCAGGTTTCCTATTTTCTAAAGCCATTTTTACAGCAATTTAATCGGAAATTTAAAAGAAAACTTTTAAAACTACATTAGCAACAAACATTTGCACGTGTTAATGTTAAAATTAAATTCTAACCGATTAAAATCCTCAATTAACTCTCATCACTTGGCGTGATTATGTCATCTTCCAACTCTCCAAGCTGTTTCAATTGTTCTTGTAATTCCCATAACAGACTAGTCTTCTAAAAAATACATATATCATTCAATTTTATTCTCATTAAACATCCACAACTTTATGTTCACTATCGCAAATGACTACCATTTCTGCGGCAATGTTTAAAGTGACCGTCGAAGAGGGAATGTAACAAGCGAAGAAGGCATGTCAAAGGGATCAAATTTCGTAAAGCGAAATTCCTTTAATCAATTGACGTATTATAGGAGAAAAGTAGTAATAGTAATGATTAAATGTGAGCCTAATTGCAAAACAAATCATGGTAAAGTTTTTGTGGTGTATTCTGTCAGATAGATTTACCTGAATTAAATATCGATGTAATAATATATTCTCTTCTTCCAAATGTTGCAGTTTCTCTCGCCTAAAGATATTTGTTTCGCTGAAAAATAGCTGATTGAAAGAATAGAAATTAACTGCGAGATAATAAGCTGCAGTAAAGGTTAAATTGATAAAAGTCAGAGTCTTGACTAAAAAAGTCTATTAATTTAATAATTAATTATTCCGAAGTCAAAAATTGTAATTGTATTTCACTTATGTTAAAATTATAGGCGATTCGACGGAACAGTTTTTACTGTAACTTAAAACTGTCAATAGCACTTTCACAATAAGAACAATACTTTTTAATTAAAACTAATGAAGTCGCTGATTGATCTTGCGATCGATGTTAGAATTTTGATATAGTTCGAAAGAAAATTTGGATTTATCCATATAAAAGACTTTCAAACATTATAGCTTTTAGTTAGCAACTTACTCATTATTCTGCGTAGTTCGTTGTGATTCCCATTGTCCTAGCACAGACTTCACTAAACCACGCCGATAACGTAACTCATTACCTTTAGGATTTCGAAAAAGTTCCACAATCTGAAATAATAAAAATTTTTTAAGCTTAATTATAATATCACTAATCAGAATTACTTAATATTAAACTAATGAACGATTCGATATCAAAGTCAATATCATATCAGTTTCAGATGAAAAATTAAATTTAAGAACCAATCAGGCTAATTTCGTCCTTCGAATTATTTATTGGCTCAATCAAAAATGGCAACTTTAAAGACTTTTTAAAGCTGGATCGAAAAATAGTTCTACAGAAAAGAACATTTAAAAGAATATCACCTTACCTTTGGAACAAAAACAAGGCAGAGAATCAAAGTTGTACAGAATATGATAAAAAGACTTCCCAATATACGTGCTTCATTTACTCGATCCTTAAATGAAATTATCATTCATGAAAAAAAAGAAGCCTGTATCAGTGATAGAATTATTCATTACATGATGTAAAATTATTAGTATATTCCAAATATATAATAACATGGTATGGCATAAATTGAATATCAATCTTTCAATTTACAAATTTACCTTTAATATGTACACGAGCGGTAGGCCAAGTAAACATGTTACAACAACACTATAAACAGACATTCCTATATATTTACTATCATTTAATGCAGGAATATTTACTTGTCTCGTTTCCCAAGCCAAAAAGCAGCCAAGTAGCTAGAAATAAGATCAATTTTAAAATATTATTTATTAGAATTAATGAAATTCAAAAAATGGAAATAAAATGATAAGATAATAAAATAATGAAAAAAATAAATTAAATGAGATGATAAGTGATTAACCATAAGAAGACCTTTGATACCCAATATAATGGCCTCAAAAATGATACTATTATCACTTCGACAACATTCTATTTCTGGTGCTATCAACTTGTTATTTGAATACTGCAATAGATGTATTATTATCATTGGATAGGTTATCATTAAATTTAGAAATCTTAAGAAATGATAGTTATATTTGTTAGAAATGATAGTTATATTATTATATTATTTATTTTACTAATTTTGATCAGGATGTAATTAAAATTTAGGAAGAATTTCCATTTAGCTTTGTTTGATCTAATTGATTAGAACTTTACTTATGAAATTACGAAGTTCAAATGTTTTCAGTCTGAGTATGCTGAACAGACAAACCCATTTTACAATAATAATATATGATGGATGAACCTACAAACATTGCTAATTGAGAGACATGAAAGGTGAAAGGTGAAATACGAGCCCATAAGGCTAATGAAATCAAATCAACGAGAACAATGATGCCAATTAGAATGAATAGTTTATAATCTTTGATTGCTTTCTTGTTCATTCGAATGTTTTTAAAAATCGAATGAACTCTCCAAGTCTTTGAAAACATCGATCCAAATGCTAAAGTAAAACCAAGACTTAGAACCCATGTTTTCACCTGAAATACAAATATATTTTGTTATCAAATAATTTCATCCAGGTACCTATATTTCAGGAACTACATCGGATTTTTCAAACTTTTTAATTTGCCTTTTTTTTTACCAATAAAAATCTCTTTCTATCTTCCTCTTCCTTCATTTCTTTTCTGATATTTCTGAAAAATTGATATATGAATGCAAAAAAATTTTCTGTTCATTACAAATGTATTTCCTGAAAATATATATGTAAATGTTCGTAAGGGTGAATTTAATTTCTATCACTTAGCAGTATTAAATTATTAGTATTAGATTATTGATAATTAAATAAAAAAGAAGAAATAATAAAAGTAATTAGCGTACATAACATAGTGTAACAAAAGTATCCGGTGAAACGAAACGTGTATCGAAGCCAAGTAGAATTACACTGATATAAGTACAAATGGAACCTGCTATGATTAAATTGTTTATGTTTGGTGATGACATTTTGATATATCTGCAAAAGGAATTTAAAAAATATTGAAATCATTGATGTATAGCGATAAATTTTATGAAATGAAACATATATTATATGACAATTGGTTATTGAAATTTCTAATTTTATAATGAAATATTTGCAAATGATTTTGAACATTTCAATTTCTATTCATTTTAAAAGTTATAATATTTAGCAGTAAATGAAGTAATGTTTTCTTATCACATATACATTTCACTTACCGATGATTTTGATATCTGATATTAATGAAAAGAAATAAAACTGCTATTGCTACACCAATGGTAGCAAGTAATGATAGTAGGATGAATAAAATGAATGATATATATTGACGTTCATGCACAACAACTGTTGCATCTAGCGGTGGTATCCAATCTAAAAATTTCATGTAATTATTAAATTAACTTAATCTATACCATGCATGTTTTTACATTCATATTAGGAAAACTTTTCAAAATCCAAAACAATTCACTACTTGCTTTTCTTTGATCGAAATCTTTGACAAGCTATATTAAAATATATTGTCATTTCATCAATAAAACTTAATCTTTTTCTTTATCTTTTACTTATAATAATCATTCAATGAAGCAGCAAATTCTTCTACTCCAACAAATTTATAAATACCTTTAAGAGCAGGATTAAGTGTAAGAAGAGTTTCTGTCCCATCATATATGCCAGCAATCATATACGATCCATTTCTCCACTGCAAAATTTCAACTAATCCAAGTCGTTCGTTATTTTTAAATTGAACTGGTCCCTGAGAAGAATAAATTTCAACAATTTAATTATTAAAGATTATTTCATGTTAAAATGTAATTTATTACTACTAAAATTCATATGTTAAAGTAATAAACTTTTACCCTCGCACAATTAAGATAATGAAAACAAATAAACTTGGGCATGCATGAAAAAACATTGCTAATCTGACAATGATGCAATCAAAAAATGTTATATACGACTATTGGTCATATTTAAATTCGAAGAAAATCATTTGTGTACTTACAGTGACGCCGATAAATGAGGTGCTACTGACAGCTTGAAGTAACTCGGCACTGAGTTTAGTCCAATCCTCTGTATCGCTTACATTTGGTATCCAAGTGATTCCATCTCGCTGTTGGTAAAGTTGGGTTACATGTTCGATAGCTAAAGCAAGTGTCCAGAGGCCATCATATACGTATCCTTTGAAAACACTTTCCGGTGATGAGCCTTGTCTAACATCAAGCTCTGTTCGAATTGCCGATACCGTCTGAATAATTCATCAATTAATTTGTTTATTTTGATGAGCAATTATAATAGCATAGCAATTATGCACTTTAATTAGTTCAAAAACTTCGAATCTAAAAATATCTGCTGTATTTATTTATTGCTTATTTACTGAACTACTAGATCGCTCGTACTTAAATTCAGATTTTAATCAAATGACCCAAAATGAGCTAACTTTATTAGCAACGGTAAGTCGAGCAAGCCTTTGTGAATAGGGTGAAAATTCCACTGCAAAGTGACCTTCAATTACTTGTGCGAGCTCTTCTACTGTACAACTGACCGCGGATACGTTACGCCACCAATCACCTAAACATTAGCCTTTCTTATTTTAATTTTGAGCTAACATGAGATTTAAAATGATTAAAACTGTATTGTACTCAATAAATAACGTAGTTGACGTTGGATACGGCCATTTATTTATTTGTTGTGATCTATATAATAGATAAAATTTTTTCAATAATAATATAAAATTGATAGAAGACTTTTTGCTTTATCGATAGCAATTTTTTTATTCTTTAGGAATGTGTTCATTCAGTATGGATACAATTTAAACTTGTAAAGGAAAATTACGAGAGGTCAAGTCTAATGCTAACTGCTGTGATAATTCCAACTTTCAAAGTATATATCGCTATTACTTACGGTTCTTCGTTGATTTATATCTGAGGGCCTTTCCATTCATTATCAGATTCGAACTAAGCTGTTGGAGGCAATTTGATTAGTTACGCATAAAGTTAAAATATTTTTTTTGCAGAGAATGAGAAGCAATATTCTTTGTTCATCCTATTTTAACTATTTATTTAAGTTAATGATAATTATTTAAAGGCTATTACTCTAACTTCTATTAGCTTATTTTAAACTTTCTTTTACTTTTGATTTGCTACAAATTTTATTGGGATTTAAAAAAAATATGAATATGCTGAAGTACTTTTTTGTCAGTTCATTTAATGTTATCGTCATCATTAAAGATATGTATTTGAGATATTAGCATTTTCATAGTACCATAGATAGAATATATACGTAACTTCCGCTATGCATTATATGTATGAATGGAAAGCATGTGATGATACGTCTTGACCTTGAGCTAATCAAAAATTTACTTTTATGATAACCAGGTAATATCCAGACATAATTTTCACCATAGATACCATTTTGATAAGCTTCACATAATATACGTACAGCTAATGATTCCTCAAAATCACCGACGAGAATTCGAGCGTCACGTTTCTGAGCAAGGAAATGTCAAAGTTTAGAAAATTCAAAACAATGATTAGCATAAAATCGTATGAATCATCTTTTCTGATCTTAGGCTACTTTTGATATTTCATCATTGTTTAATTTATATCTCAAAATCTCACTTAATATTCATTCATTTGTTAATTCCTTTTTAGTTTGTAGGATTAGTTTCTATCGCCTAAAATGATTGCGCTTTTTTTTAATTTTCATCTCATCAGGCAAATTTGCCAGCAATGCTATATTAGTAAAAAAAATTTTTAATTTCTTAATGGATAAAAATTAAAACCTTCAATTCATTAAGTTCATAACCGATATTTTGAATTTCATCATGTGTAATACCAGCAGTATATATTACTCGGATACCAAATCCCTGCTCTAATCGTGTTGTCAGTGATTCGTGCGGCTTCAAAGCATCATTAAATTATATATTTAATGAATTATAGAATAATTCTTTCTCTAATAATGCAAACTGTGGGATGATGCATTTGAAGAAATTTTAGAGAGAGAAAGAGATTGTAATATAAGCTTGAACTATAAAGTGTCTGGGGTGAGAAAGTTTTTTTAAAGGAAATTTTTAAAAGATGAGAAAAAGTTAGAAAAAGCTTTTTAAAAAAGTGGAAAAAGCAATCAGAGTGTATTGCTTACTCAGTATTCTCAATCTGCTGGAAAATGTTGCTGGCAAAAATTAAAACTTTGATTTATGAGTGTATTTAGAAAAGCATTTCGCCCATTTGTCTACTTTTTCCATTTAGTAATTATATCATTAAAATCAATTTCCTTCAATTAATCTTCATTATTTTGCAAGATAAAACAATTTTAAACTTAATTTCGACAAATTTCTTCAATTCTCAAGTATTGAATAGACCCTTCGGCACTTTTTGATTTTCCACTTACCAATGCGAAACGTGGATCATCGCTTTGTTTTAATGTGCCAACACGAGTCCAATTGAATTGAAAAATGAGATGACATCGTGCTAAATTTGAATTCTGATATCCTGGTACCATGCGAAAAAATGTTGGATACATCTAAAATTTCAATACTAAATCGCCTTAAAGATCATTCTTCTTAAAAAAAATTTTTCTAATAAGCAAACCAAAGTAAATATTCTATTTAGCAGAAATTCTAATTAGCATAAATCTACCTTTCATTATTTGATAGATATGTTGTTTCACAATATTTAAAATCAAGGAGAATCTTTAAAATTTCTTCATAAGGAACCACATTACTATTTGCGCGTCCCAAAATGAATTTTTAAACAAATTTCGTTAATTTGAAGTTGATTTTTCGATCGGAAACATGCTTGCATACTTATAATTTTCCTCATGGATCTAATTAACTAACTCTAATGTGAAGCTCTCTTAACTAGATGTAGTTGAAATATATTGAACAAGATTAAATTAATTTGTGTTAATATCTTTTAAGAACATTACATCTCTCTAGCAGTATTACCAGCAAAAACAAATTATCATTTGATTAAATGAACCAATAAAATTGTACTTAAAATGGCCATCATTGTAACCAAAGTAATTGAATTAGTTGAACAGAAGAAGCAAGAGAGTAAATAATTGAAATGCTTCTATTATTTATCTCTATAAATTAAAAATTTTAAATTGAAACCTCAAAAATGATTTTAATAGCATTACAAATAAAAAATTAAATGTTATTTTTGCATTGACTTTTTGTTTTAAATCGAATTATTAACAATTATTCATTCTCAACTTTATTTAAAACTTCACTCACTTAATTCAACCTTCTGTTTAACCTTACCTTAGACTATTTAATTTGAAATTTTATTAAACATTGAAAAAGAGTGATGAGAGCATCAGAGAATGTTCTTGCAACTATCATAGCTTATTTTGTGCTTAATACAGAAATCATTGAGTGGTTGATGAAATAATTGTTTGCACTCATTACATATTATTGTTAAATATTTATTGTTAAAATCGAACCTCCTGAGCATCCGCGGTGGCAAATTTTGCATGTATTTCAGCATACGACAAATGTAAAATATGCCAATATTTAGATGCCATAGCGACAACTTCGTTTACATTCGTGCATGCATCACCAAAAAGCGCAAAAGGTCGTGGATTTGCATTCATCAGCTCGAATAGCGCTTGCATTCCAAATGACGTCTTGCACTACAATTAATGAGACTTCATTGAGAAATTTAAAAGTTAACTTTTACTATGAATTTTGAAGATCTTTGAAATTTTCAAACAATCACATTTCTACAGGTTCTCATTGGCAGCTATTGGAATGAAGAGGAATGTTTTAAGGTGCAGCTAATTCCAAAGAGAAAAATCTCAATGAATTGGAAAATTTGAATTTAAACTCTTACAGTTATTTGCAATAAAAAGCTATGAAATTCTTCAAAATTCTGTTTTTCATTTCAGATAAAATTTTGCATTGAAAATAAAATTTCTTAGAAATAAATTGAATTGATTTATTATGGCTTTAGCAAAACTAAGCTTTTAAATCGTTTTTAATTTCGATTTAGTTGAAATATTCCAGTGAATACTTTCATTTCTAATAGACTTTTGAAATTAAATTAAAAAAGAAAATGGCTAAGATTAGTTGAATTATTTGTTGTAATTTCTCTTTTAGTATTACTTTAATTTCTCTTCCAAACTAATCTCTCATATAAATTGAAAACAATTTCTTAGAAATACTGCCATTCAATTCAAATTTTTACAAAAAAGAATTCAGAAATTTGTCTCGTCGGATATATCATTCAATCAGTGCAAAATTGAAATTATATTTGGAATTGATTGAGCTTTAGTAAAACAAAAATCAATGAAATTGATAAAAACGATTAACACGAAACCTCAGTATCCTTGAAATGCAATTTCAAATAATAATTATTGAGAATACAGGATTGATTGTGAATATGTTCCAGAGCAGTATTAACAGCAAATTCCAAGGCATGTTTGTATTGGTGTGGTAAAAAGACGCCGATTATTAATGGTATCCGATTTATGCGGTGTAGATTTCGGCAGTCTTCAGTATACCCAAGCCATATACGCGCCATTAGTAATAGGCATGTTAAGCAATGCATACCTTCTGCACCAAAGATAAGAAATGTAAGTAACGTGAAATAGAAAAATTGGAGTTATTAAAGTTTCATTATATTATGAGGCAGTAAAATGTTAATAAATAATAGGCCAGAATTAGAGTAGAGTTTAGATGATTGAATTTCATTGAACTGAAATTAAACAGAAATAAGTTTCAAATGAATTGAATTTGAATGAAAAAATTGCACAATGAGTTGGTTATATTTAAAATGAGTTACATTAAATTAAACTAAACATAAAAAGAATATAATTAAGATGAGCTAAATGAACATGAAATCTGATTTGAATTAAAATTAATCAATAATTTCGGTTTCGATATTGGCATTGATCTGTGACAAGCACTTCATTTTTATTTTTATAATACATTTTAAAGAATTCGTTTTTCAGAAAAAAATTAATTGCAGTATAAATTAAAAATTCTGGAAAAATTGAAAGATAACAGTCAATTCTTATCAAAATAATAACTTATAAATGCAAAATTAATTTTTGCTTCAAATTAAAGATAATAGCTAAATATTAGGAGAAAATATTAAAATATTGTTAATAGCATTATCATTGCTTTGATAGATTAAATTAAAAGAAACTAAAATTCAAAGTTCACAGCAAAGTAAATTATGATTTCGATATTTAGGAATGCTTTTTCAAGTGATTAAACGAGAATTTGAGGAATATCAGATAATGGAAAATGCTTATATAATTGTTAAATTATCCTAAGAAATATATTAGATTTGCATATTTTGAAGCTATTACTGATAGAAACTGACATTTTTTGAAGTCAGTTGGTAATATCAACAAAATAACGAAGAGATTTCCAAATCTCTTTGATTATCAATTGGCATAGTAATAACTGCGTCAATTCATAATCAACAGTATGTTGAAATGAATTGAGTTATTTATCAAATTACTAATATATTTATTTATATTTATTAAATAATAATCTCAGCAAAAAAAAACAAATTAATTTTTCCCTTTCTTTATAAGTACCACTAGTTTTGCGAAAAAATTTTATTAAATTATTCCAAAGAGATTAATTTAACTGCTGTTAAATTGTTGCGCATTGAAGCAATGATAATTATTCCATTGCATTAATGAAATTGAATAAATTGAATTCAGGTGCAAATACTTATATAATCAATAAATTACATTATATTAAATGAAAAATCAATTTCATTTTCTAGAATTAGTAAATTTGAGAATTGGGATGATCAATGTTCGTTCTTCTGTCGATCAACAAATCTCTCCCAAATATTATGTGTCGCACAGTTTGTCGTCCATTGGGAATAAATTTGGAAAAACCATTTATTGACATTTATGATCGAAGTGATATTTCATTCATTGTCATCGGCTAAACTAAAAGTAAACGAAAAGCTCTGTACTGCTGGAATCGATACCACTGGGATCTGTACTTCAATTTTATTTTCTTAGTAAAAAATGTTAGAACATTTTTAGGATTCTTTTTGGATATTCTTAATAAATGGCTTCCAAGAAAAGACTTTTTGAAACTAAACCAAAGTTAAATTTTTAAAGTATACACCAAAAAAAATTTACATTTGAAATGAAATCAAATTTTCCGTATTGAAATTAAATTTTTAAGCTACGAAAATCAATGCATGTTGGAAAAAAATTCTATAACAAATTCACAGTAAAGTTTGTATTGACTATAGATTGAAATAAATATTTGAACAGTTGGAATCGTGAGCTTTTTTCTTTATTGTTAGAGGACTAATGCTTAGTCATGATAAGCATGCAATACCACAACTTCCATCGCTATCTCACCATCACTACTACATGCAACAGGATAAAGTTAATCATCAATCATCAGTTATCACTATTTAATACTGATTTAATCAAGACAGTTGACAATTAATCCTTCTGGCTATTGCTACTACTACTTCTCCTCAGGGAAAAAAGTTTATTATTAGTAAAATAAAATCTTAAAAATTAAAAATCGTCGTAAAAAGTGACTATTTGGCTTATGTTCGATTATTTCCAGCCGAATAAAGCATTAAAAAGAAATGCTAATTAATGGTGGAACCAAAAAAGATCCTGCTATTAGCACAAATGACCTTTTGCAAAAAAAGGATTGATAAGAAGAAAAACGACTACTTCAAGGGTTTCATTAGAAATTCAAATTTTAAAATTTAAATTCGAGAAAATTCAATTCAGCAATAAATTGCTAATTATTTATTATGGCTTAATTTTTTTATTATCAATTAACAATATCATAATAATAATTATGTAAAAAGCTTGTCAAAAATTTTAACAAAAATAATAAAAGTTATTATCGAAAAAAGTAAGTGAAATACGAAAAAAATTTTGTTTAGATGAATCACCACCACCATGTATGTGGCAATAATAGACAAACTGCTTATTATGTACGAATCACCTGTTCGTTAAGCAATTCATCATTAAGAAAGCTCGTAGAAGAGGTCTTGTCGGTAACTCTCTCCGGCACTTCACATATAAAATAGCAGCATTAGCTTGTTGTAGCTCTAACTCTCAAGTAATCTTACAACCACCTCATAAACAAAATAATGTTGTTTCGAGAAGGAGATGGTGATGATGGCGAGAAGAAGGGACGGGGAAAGAGGAATGTCTAAGCTTTTTCTTATGCTTCAGTGAATTGATTTAAAACTTGACAAAACTATAGTTTTGTCTTTGATAAATTTAAGTACATTCAATGGATCAAAGTTTATTCAAAAAAGTTTTAATTTGAATTTTATTTTTCACTTATCACCAAGATATTCAGTGCAATAACCTTTTTTTAGTTGCACAAATAGAATTATTTTATGTATCGAATAGGTTGAATTTATTTCATGACTTCACAATTTTTGCAAACATTCATAGCCTTATATTATGTTGTTCTTTATCTACACTTGTAATTTGTTGAAAATAGCATGATACATCCTTTCTATAGCATGTTATATCCATCCAATTTAATTTATGATAATTACATCAATAAATTAAATTTAATAATAGCAAATTATGTCTAAAAAATATGAAAAAAAAAATTCTTGTAAATATGAATTTGATTGATGCGAAGACAAGTACGTTGCTAATCTGTGCTAATGTTGACAGCATTTTTTGGAGTAGCGTAGTATTATGAAGGTCCAAAATATTTGTCGTTTGGGAGGTTGTTGATATTTCATCTGTCCCAGTTACTATGACTCTCAGGAGAGATGTATGCATAAGAATGTGCCAAAAACTCATGAAAACTTACGAAAGCTCTCATCCAATATCTCTTATTTTCCACTTTCTAACCCTTTTATTTTCAAGCTCTTTACAGGCCTTCACATATAACGATATTCCTCTTTTTTCTCATTTAAATTATTCCACTATCATTATTTTAAAGTGATACCTTAAAAGATGAAAGAAGTTAGAGATAAAAGCCTAAAGCTATCATTTTAAAGGATGATCTCAAAAGGACCTATCATATGTCGAATGATGAAAAGTATGAAATACTGAAGGCCATTAACGAGCAATTTCGTAAATTTAATCAGAAAACCTCTTGCATTATTAGAAAAGTGATAAGCTTTTTAGTTGATGCAATAACATTAAAGCGCTGATCTCTAATGCAATTAAAAATGTTGAGAATTTAAAATGGCGAGGAATTAAAATGGTAAATGATTTCTTTCAAAAGGAAAATAATAATCAAAAAATCTGTAAACAGTTATCAAAAAAGGGAATAATAAGAAGAGAGGAAGAAATTGATCAAAGAAATGCTTAAAATTTTACATAGAAGTTGCAAAAAGTAAAAAAGAGCATTTGTCAATAACAGAATTTATTGACAAATTAGCATTTCTCTTAATTTGCAATTAAGTAAACAATCATTAATAAGTATATTGCATAACATCATGTAAAATAAATAATCAAGTGAAATAGAAGCAAACGAAAAGAAATGAGTAATCACATCGTTTTAAAAGCGCTGATGTCACTCATATCATTTCAGCTTGTAGAATTTCACTTTTCATATCATCAAATCATCCATCTATTTGTTTACTATTGCAATCCAATGATTGCAATGCTACTCTTTTTGTTCTAAAACAAATTTTTCAATTCAATAGCTTTTTTTAAAATTGCTTTTATCATTCAAAAATATGATAAATAAATTCAATTAAAAACAATTTGTAACATTTTGGCCTGTCAATGCCATTTTCAATGTTCACATCCTTTCCTTAGAACAATTCATTATTGATTGATAAATGGATTGGTTATGATTGGTAGAACAGTCAACTATCATTGATATCTTTGATCAGAACAGTTAATAAAAGATATCCGCTTAAAAGATCCTTAACAGAGGATTCATTCTTTTTGTTTATATCTGTCTTTAAAAAAAGAAGAAATAGTTGCCGAAACAATATTTGCTTGCTGTCGTTTAATCAAATGAACAGAATTGCATTCAACACATTTGGATGAAAATATACGATCAATAAAGGAAATAGAGACACACTTTTAGAGCCAAGAATTAGCCAATTATAGATAACACATCAGAAAATTTACATTGAATTTTTATATTTGCTGAATCTTAGCTTTCAACAATTTTCGCCATTTCAATTTCATATGATATTCCATAAATATTGCCAGTTTAAGCAATGAAGTTATACAATTAATGGAAGATTAAAGAAAGCTTAGGCTGAAATGAGTCATAGTTTTGGAAGGATAAAATTGAATGTATTATAAATAAAAATTTTAATTAAATTAAGTAATTGAGGAAAGGGAAAAAATTCGGATGCAATGTAAAAGAAGAATAATGAAAGGAAATGCTAAAAGTAGTAAAGAGGCGATAAATTCTTAAAAATTTATTTAAATTAAGGAAATTTTTTAGTCAAAATAGATATTCTCCGATTTCAAATTCCAATCTTATGAATGAAGAATTCATTTTGTTTATAAACATACATCACAAATGATAAGAACCAACTATTGATATGTAATATTTAGTAATTAATTTGATAATAAT